ACACACACACACACACACACACACACACACACACACACACACACACAGAGCAGACGTGTATATTTATATCTTTCTGCTCCCAGGCAGCTTGACCTTGGATATCCCAAGCCTCAAGTCCAAGCCAGAGCTGCCAGGCCACTTGTGAGTGGCCAGAGAGGAGGGGGATGAGGCAGGGCCCTTAACCTTTCTATCCCCATAGGCTTGGAAAGCCCTGATTTAGACTTTATATAAATACATGAAACAATCTCCCAGCCAGCTTGATTTGAGGGCAAATCAGCTAAAGGATTTCCTGGAGCAAAGCCATATCCGTGCCTCTCTGTGTGTGCGTGTGTGTGTGTGTGTGTGTGTGTGAGAGAGAGAGAGAGAGAGAGAGAGAGAGAGAGAGAGAGAGAGAGAGAGAGAGAGAGAGAGAAAGAGAGAATGAGAACAAGAAGAGAGAGAATGAGAAGAGAGACAGAGAGAGAGGATAGGCACACACAGAAAAACAGAGCAATAGAGGCAGAGAATGATTGTGTGTAGGGAGGAGAGGGCAGTCCCCAACAGATCCCCCTCTGCCTAGCCACATCCAGGTGAGGCTCAGCAAGGTGAGGAGCCGGGGAGTTCTAAGTGCAAATGCCATCCTGAGCTCACCCACCCAGACTTCACAAGCCACGTGGCCAGGCCCTGAATGAGAGAGAGGGAAGATTCCTCTGAGGTGTCCCAAGAGCAGGCCTAGGGGAGGGGAGAGGGAAAAGGATCTAGTGTCTCCAGGCTCCTCGACCTTTCCCGCCTAAGCTCAAGGCTTAGCTGCCACTGGCACAGAAGGATGACTGGCTGGGAACATTCCCTCTTCTAACCCTTAGCCAAAAGAAGTCAGGGCACACATGGCGGACGGAGGCCCTGAGTCCAGGGTGGGGCAGCTGGTGGGTGGGCAGGCGGGTCTCAGGTCCCTGCCCAGCCCCATGGGGGACGGTAGGACAGGCTGCACCACAAGGTGTATTGACATTTCCAAATTAAATAAACAAGCAGACGACAGAGCGGTAGGCTGGGGAAGCAGGCAGGACCTTGATTCACTCCACAGAGCAACAGCTGAGACTTCCCACTGGGGTCGGGGGAGGCGGGTCAGCTGCCCCTCTCTGGCCAAATGCCAAAGTGGCTGTTAGGACACTTGAGTCCGAGCGCCATTAACTAGCTGTGTGAGCATGGGCAAGATGCTTAACCTCTCTGAGCATCGATTACCTCATCTGGAAAAACCAGGGAGGGGCTGCACTGGAGGGTCCCCAGACGGATGATGCCACCCACGGATCCACAGGTCCCCAACCCAGGTCTAGCTGACCCAAGGTTCATTCTGTATTCTGTCTTCGGGACACCCCAGGGCAGCCCAAAGAGGCTTCCAGAGACGGGGCCGTCTTGCTCAGAGGGTGACCCTGACGTCCCTCCGCCCCAGCCGGCCCTCCATCCTGCTGCCTTCTAAACAATAAAACCCGGCCCGAGGTCGACGGCCAACCCCCTGTGGACTGTTGCCACACGGCGCACCCCAAAGCGGAGGTCACGGGGACCACGTTCCAGTGGACTCCCTGCACCCCCCACAGAGGTGGCGGGCAGAACCAGGTGCCCGTCACTCTGACTCCCCACAACAGGGCTGCCTTGTTTCCCAAGCACAGATGGCCCTCCCCCTTACAGGGGAGATCCAGTGTGTACAGCCAGGAAAGGGAGGGCTCAGATCACAGACTGTTACCAGAGCTGCTGCCCAGAATGATCAGGCTCTCCTCTCTGCCTCCCCAAAAGAGGCAGCAGTCTCCCCAACACACCTGCTCTCCACCCACTGTCATCAGTGGGCAGGCCGCCCACCCCCATCCCTGCTCCTGCCCCCATCAGCAGTAATGGGGGGGGGGGGCGTTTGTCAATAGCACCGCCAGCCGGGGCACCGGCAGCTCTCCAGCAGAACGCCCGCCGCGATGCCACCCATGAGATCGGCATCGGCAGGTCCCGGCCCCAGCCTCGTCCGGCAACAGTTTGCCCGGCATGGTCTGGGGCTGGGGAAGGGGATCCCTCTAAAGACGCACTTAGGATCCCCCCCCGGATGTCCTCCACTCATTCCCAAACAAACCTAGCCTGCCCCCCCCACCTTGCTGAAAGGATACTCACATTCTCTTATCCGCGATTCCCCTTCTGCTAAGTTTTCCCGAAACATACGGCAGGCGGGGAGCAAAGGGAGCACGAGCCGCAACAGGAGGACCCGCTGAGCTGCTGCGGGCGGCGGCGGCTGCTGTCTGAGATCAGCTCGGACTTCCCTGCTCTCACATCCTTTCCGCTCCTCCTGTTTGCCTTCTCTTGGAGCCGCCAAAGGAAGGAGGGGTTGGAGAAGGGGGGAGGAGGAAGAGGGAGAAGGGAGGAGGGAAGAGGGAAGGCAGCCCAGCTCCGGCTCCTTTCAGCTCTGCCCTCCCACCTCCCAAGAACTGCCGAGGAGGGGCGAGGGGGACAGGCAGCCAGCCGGTGGCCTGAAGCTCGTGACAGGGTCACGGGCAAGAGCGTCCTTGTGCTCTGGCGTCTCCCAGGCCCCCCTGGAGCTCCTTGCCCGGCCTGTCACTTCTGATGGGGGCGCAGGGTGGCTGCGGGGCTGGCTGCAGCTTCTCCTGGAGAAAGACGTCCCTCCCTGGCTGGGCCAGGGAAGGAAACTCTTCCCCCTCTGCCGGCGGCGGCGGATGGAGCTCGCTGCCTGCTGGGGCAGCCTCCCCCCCCAACCAGGTCTGTA